TTTAGAGGTTAGCGTGCTCCCCTCCCCATCTCCTTTTGGTTTTATACTACACTTGATCATAAGCGATTTGTTGTAGTTCCTCTGTGCCTGCCCAGCGCCTGGCCCTGGAACCAGCTCCGTGGGTACGACGCCCAGAGGTGCCCGTGAGAGCAATGCTATGAAAAAGTAGGGCCCCCAAATTTGGCCTGACTTTCCAGTCTCATGATAAGAAAGTGGAAAAACGCATAAACTGCGATGTCTGCTGTAGTGAGTCGTTCATAAACAATAAAATCTGGGGGAATATTTTGAAATATTTCTACAGATTATTGGTAAGTCTTGTCTCTTGCTCTGTGATGGCTCCCTTGCCGTCTCCCTGTGCAAACACAAGCACACGCACAGGGTGATGAACTGTGCAGGAAAAGAGCTGTTTCTGTAACTCTTTCAGTGCCCAGAGGATTTCTCTCAGTCCTAGTGCACTACTCCGAGTCATCCCAGAACTGCGTTTGGCACCCTATGGGCATTTTTTTCAGTAAAAGAGGGTAAAATTGATCCATCTGATTCAGAAGGGCAAAAAGCCCACAAAGGCCATCAGTGACAGCGAGTTTTGATAGGAATCCACGGGTTGTGCCTTGGGCTGTGCAAAGCTTTTGCCTAGAGCCGCTTTGCTGCTTGGAGAGACAAAACAAAGCTGGGTGGGGAAGAAATCTCAAAGCCGAAGTTTTAAATAGCAGCAGTGTGAAAGCTTTTAGTGCCACAGAACGGACAGCATGGCACGTGTGCATTCAGTGACCTGTTTTGTTCAGGCAGCGAAAGCTGTCTTGGAAACTGCAGCTCTCTTTTTTTCTTTTTTCTGTTTGTTTTTTTTTTTTTTTTTCCCTTTGGTTCTAACAATATTGTCTCTTGACCTGAAATTATCTTAATGGCAGTGGAGGCAAAAAAACTCACGTTGGTTTGACACTTTGATGTTTGTTGGAATCCCCTGTGCGGAGGTTTTCATGGTAAGCTTAGTTCTGTTCATGGGAACTCTTCAAACCAAATGAAACCTTAGCAGTTTCGTAGCAGTTAACCTGTGATCCGTCCTATCCGACCAGCTATTGAGATAGCAGGTGAAAAATATACTCTAAAAGGGGCTCAATTTAAAGAGGACCTTGACTTGTAGACTTGCTCTGACAGACCCACACTGAAATACAAAGCTGGAGAGAAAAGCGTTTGTGTGTGCCAGAGGTATATGGGGCATTCATCCATGCACACACCCAGGAATGTACTGGGAAAGCAGGCAGAACTGTTTGGGTTTCTAGTATAATTTCAGTAATAATCAGTGACAAACAGACATGGCATCTGGGCTAATATGTTTTCCCAATAGTTTTTCAAGGCTGAAACCAGAGTTTTGGCGGAGGGAGAAGGAAGCAGAAATGGATGTTTGAGCTACAGATCCCTGTGGCTGTTGCCGCTCTTGGTTGTCAGAGAGACCTTGAGTTGTGCCCTTGGATGTGACTGCCAGGGAGCCCCAATATCAGCTCTCTTTATACCTTCTGCAGAGTAAGTATGGAGCCAGTCAGTAGCTAGTGGTCAGCCCTTCTGGTTCCTTGGCCACCAGCGAGCTCCTTGCTTTTTCCCTTCCCAAGCACCCAGGGATGGGCAGCACCAGAGAGAAGGGCAGCATGGGATGAGGGTGGTGAAGCGTTTTGTTGGTCCTTCCCCAGCCAGGAGAAATTCAAGGCCCCGAGGAAAGGTGAAGCTATAGGCTGTGCCTTTACAGCAGCGCTTCACGGTGGCTCTGCTAAACCAGGAGACTGCAGAATCCTGCAATCCTGCTCCTGGGGCTGTTTCAGAGGGAGGGTTTGTGCAGCTCCTAAAATCCCTCTCCTAGTGACTGACAGCACTACAAGGCAGGTGTCGAGGGACCGAGTGATATGGGACAAGTGCCTTCACGTGAAGTTTCTATAAGCTGTGAAGTCCCTTTGCCAGCCGGGACCTGGTGCCACACATCTGAATGCAACAGGCAAGTGCTTAAGTCAGGTTTGAAGAGCTTTCTCTCTTCCTCTGCCCTAAGCTTGGTAGAGAAAGCTGCTTGGAAATCTGGCAGGGAATATATTGCCATCTGGCTGGTGTTATTTTTTTACTCTAGATTTATTTTTTTTCCCCCAGCACTGCAGAAAACAACAACTTTATGCACACAGACACATTTCAGCCATGTCCTGCCCAGCAGGTAAAGAAGCTCACTCCTGTGGTAGACTGGAAGTCTGTCCGCATCTACTCCTGCTCCCAGGACCTGGGGTGTAGGCTGCTGCCCTCTTCATTTTCATCAGAAGCAGCTGTGGCCCCCAGTGGGTAATGGGTCTCCAGGGGGAGTGGGGCCTGAGCCTGTGGTCTGTGGAGATGTGCTGCCACGTCCAGGCATGCTGCCAGCCCCTCAGCACAGAGCAATTCCTCACCTGGCTCCTTTGCACCTCTTTCCCCAGCTCACTCTTAAAACCAACTTCACCACAACTTGTTGGGTTCTCCACTGTCTTCCTAGCGCTGTGGCCTTCCCTGTAATGGCTGCTGTAAAAGCCTTTTCCTTTGCTTCTGCTGCTTTCTTACGTGTTTCTTTCCAAATCCTGGCTGGAAAGCTCCTTCTCCTTGTTCTTTCTCCGATGTTGCCTCATCCCCCTCTGCCATATGGGGTAGAGGCCTCGCATTAGCAATGTGCTGGGCAGCCTCACCCATCCAGCCGGATCCCTGCGCTCGGTTGTTTTGCAGGACTCATGGATTGCTTATGGATTTCAGTGCTTTGTTGGACTGGAGCTGGAGTTAAAAGAAAGCTGCTGTTTGAAAGAGCCATGTGTTTCTCTGATCCTTCAGCTTACGTGCCTGTTGTGGAACCTCTTGTGCCTGATTTTACATTAAGCCCATTTTCTGTCTCAGTAGTTCTCAAGCCCAGCCTTGGTGCCACAGTTAAGACTGGCCAGGACTTTGATCTGTTTGTCAGTGAGGTCTCTGAATCCATAGTCTGATGCAGTTTCTTCTTGTCCCTATTCTGTCCCCCAAGTTGTCCTGGTGTGGCTGGACGTGATGGCTGTGAGGCTGAAAGTGTCTGTAGGCATGAACGACCTGAACAGCTAACGTACGTGAATGGTGCAAAGCCCTGGCCAGCCCACAGCGTGCTGTAAGCACAAAAGGAGATTGCACATGTCTGTGCACACCGGACCCTCTGTGTAGCGTACTTGTTCCATGGGAAGGAGGATAGCTGGCTTGGCTTTTCCTTCCTGCCCCATGGCAGCTCTTATTGCTGGTGTTTGCCCAGGGCTGGGGTTGCAGTTCAGTGTGGTCCAGCCGTTGCCCCAGGTAGGAGACTGCGGGCGCTCCTTGGTCTCTGCTTCCATCTGCTGGACAAGCACTGGCTCCTGCTCTCTCCTGTTTTCCTTCAGTGCCTTGGGGATTTTACTAGCTCCTTTTAAACTGTGCTCACGTAATACTACAGATGGAAATCCCTTTCATGCACGTATGGACTGCAAGAAAATTTCAGTGTTGAACCAACTCTCTTTGGCAAGACTTCTGTGTGCTAGAGTAAATGGCAATGAGCCTGGAGATGGGCTGAGCGCAGTGCGTTCGGTGCAGCGATGTGCAGCCTCCGGCCATGCAGGCAGGTCGGCCTGCTGAGGCCAAAGTTCCTCTGGTTTATACTCACAAGAAAGTCAGGTATGAGTGTGTTGCTTGGATGCCACGTGGATGGCCAGCGCGGGTCAGGCCAGAGGTTCAGTCTCCAAAAGTGCCATTTCCAAAAGTGACCACAGCAGATGCTAGAGGAAAGCATGTAAAAAAACTGGGCAGGGAGGATATGGTGCTTTCCTTGGACATCTCCCTCAGCATCTGACAGTCAGGGATGTGGGAACATCTTGGGCTGGGGACTGCAGTGAGACTTCATATTTAACAGTCCCGGTAAATGTGTCCTTCACGAGCTTGTCTTGAACCTCTTGGTTTTTGAACTCTGCAGCATCTTGAGGCAGTGAGTTTGTACTGTGCAAAAAGGTCCTGCTTTTATTTGTTTGAGACCTGCTGCCAACAACTTTCTCTGCTAGATCATGGGAGCACCTGAAGCAGGCCTGAGAACTACTTGGACTACGTGTCTCCTCTGCAGTTATCTCTCCCTTCATGAGGACAACAACAAAAGTGTCCCTCGGGGTTAAATGTATTTGGGCGAGCTGGAAGAACAGGGTTGCTACTGTTGAGGGTCATGAACAGTCTGGTCTGCACAAGAGCGCTCTGGTTGTTTTCATCTGACAACAGAAATTTGGCTGCTGCAAAGGCATTTCCTTAACCTTTCCCTAACCTCTGCTCAGCAGTGGGCAGACACAGGCAGAAGGTTCATTTCAAGCAAAAAAATCCTCCTCCCGTTCTCAAGACGTTGTGCAACACAGCCTATAGATCTTCCTGTAAATGTTGCTTGATTTACATGTTGGCTGTTCATCTGTGCACGTATAACTAAATAGTGCGCTCTCCTCCAGATGTGTAACGACTGATTTAGTCTTTGTGCCGTCAGGTGGAGGCCTGGATGCAGAGGCTTGACCTCCCTTTGTTGCAGTTTACAGTACAGTGCCTCGATGTTAGAATTTCTTTAACCAAGTTTCTAGATTCTTTCTGAGCTGTTCAGTGCCATGGCAAAGGGTGTGTTGTGTGGCTGTTGCTCTGAGGATAGCGATGTCTTGTTTCATCTCATTAACAAACATGCATTTAGCAACAGTCAATGAAGGCGCTGGGTTGAAACTCTACTTATTTTCCATGTGAAAATCCTGAGATTAGTTTTCGCTAGGGTTGGCATGATTCGAGTAAATCTGCAGGGCACCCCTTTGTTCATTTCTTTAGCAAAAATAGCATAGTCATGTAAAAGCAAGACCTGCTTTTCTCTTCCAACTGTGCATGAGTCGTTACCACACGTGAGACTACTCACAGCCAGGGTGTCTGGGCTCTTCATTCTGTGTTCTTCCAGGGACTTTGCAATTTGGAACGACAGACTTTTCTGTTTTGATTTTTGACATTAGGTTCCCAGTCAGCAGGAGGAGATGTCACCATCGTCGCCGCACCGGAGAACACCACCGTGGTGGCTGGGGAGAGCGTGGTGATGGAGTGCATGGCAGCTGCCGATCCCACCCCCTTCGTCTCCTGGATACGACAGGGTGAGTGCGAGGGACAGAATTAAGCTTTTGCTGTCAAGAGGAACCTGTGGACACTTTATTTTAAAAATCTATTGAAAGATGTAAAAATCTGTGGCACAGGAAGGGTGCTTGTTACATCGGTACCTTATGAAGCAGGTGGTGTCACAGTGTAGGGTGTCCTTGCTAAACTGGAATTACTAATTAAATCTAGAAGGTTACAAAGCATGCAGCTTACTTTATAGCTGTTTGACCTGTGAAATATAGGAAGTTCTAGTGCCTGGATGCCTTTTGATCTAAATTAGTCATCCTTATTGTACGAGCTTGAGCAGTGAAGGTCGTGAGATGGGGTCAGCTCTATGCCACTCCTCCAGGGACTCAGAATGTTAGTGGGAATTCTGTGGAATCTGCCACTGCATTGGAAAAATAACTTGTATTATCTTGCAGGATTATAAAACATGATAAGATCTGTTAATCATCGGAGTGGCTGGGAGTGTTTCTGGGAGGGTTTTATTCAAAAACCTTGCTGTGGTCAGACTGGTAATGGAAGGATTGAGAAGATGCTTAGGTCTCGTCAGAGGTGTACAAATGAGCCAGACCCAGGGCTGATAGCCCAAGACACGAATAGGATGCTGGTGTCACTTCACCAAGTGTCACACGCATCAGATGCATTTCAGAGGGTCTGACTGAAGACGTTCTCAGCTCAGGAGTCGAATCTCCCCCAGAAAAGGCTCATAGTCATTTTCATAAATCCGGGTCACGATTTAAGACTCCTCTCCCCTGTAACCATTTATTGTGGTTGGTCTTCAGCCCAGACTTGTCCACAGGCAGTGATTTTAGTGTATACAAATATTTCCTCTTCCCCACAAAAAAGGAGAAAAAAAAAAAATCTCAGAGGACACAGCTTTGGAAATCAAATCAGCAAGGATTAAACCTTCTGGCAGAAATGTTTCTTGTTTATCCTGTGCACTTCACAATTACAAATACTCAGCTTTCCCATGCTAGATCACTTACTCATTGTGTTACTGGGAGCTACTGATGCCCATAGTAGAGTAGATATTATCAGAGTTAATTATCACTATGAAAGCTTTTTGGATGGGGGTGAGGGGGGTAGGTTGGTGAAACAGTTCCTTGCCTGCTTTATTTTAAAGTGTTTGCTTGGTCCCCCTCTGCTTCCTGGTATGGACACTTCAAATTAGAAAAGATGGATTAACTGTGCTAGCAGTTCTGTGTTATACAAGCATGTTTCTTTCCAAGACTTCGTTAGGGAGCAGGCTGGGTTACTGGACGATTAGTCATGTAGGTAACACGGAGGATTGTACCTTCAGGTTGCCAGTTTGGCTCTTGCCAGCCTTGGTGGTGTCAGCTAATTGTCACCATCTGGAGTCAGATTTTCAAACCACTCCAGTGCAAATGGGGTGCACAGATTTTTCTCGTCCTCTGAGCACACAGCCGCTTAACTGTGAGGCCATCTGAAGACCCCCAAAATGGATGGAGGGGGCAGAGGATCTGATCTCAGCTGCATTCCCTGCTGATGGTGCTAAGCAGGTACAGCTGCTCACAGTGAAGGTGGACAGCCTGCTTCTGTCTCAAGATACAGGCTTAGCTGAATCTGTGAGAGGCAAAGGCAGGCGAGTACTGAGTTTTTGCTGTCTGAAAGACATCTGTGCTTCTGCAGGTGGTGAGGGACAAGGTCTGGTATTGCACAGGTCCTGCACAAGCCAGCCGTCTCTCCCAACCCACTAACTCGTGTCAAGAGCTGGCCATGGGTTCCTGGCTTCCCATCCGAGCCTTTCCTCAGCCAGGCTGTGCTTGCCTGTCCCAGCTCTTGATTTTGCTCGCCCACACTCATTCAGAGGTACCGATGCAATGGTCCCCATGCTTCTCACATCCGAGTAGTGCTGAGAGTAAGCAGTACTCAGCACCAGCCTACTGTCTTGTCCATGACATGCTGAGGAGCCTAGGGCTATTTGAAGTTGTAGAAGGATGGCTCAACTTCTGGCCAGTGGGCTGGAGCCACCTTTCCTCCTTCCCTACTCAGCAGTGCTGAGCATCTAGTCAGGAGAATGGGGAGAGGGCAGCTCAGGGCCCATGTCTCTGACCAGAGCCCCAAGGAGAAACAGATGTCTTCCTGATACCTTACAGATCAGGAGCCAAGCTGGGGGCAAAGAGTGAATCGGGAAGCTAAGTAAATTTGGGTTTGCCTCCAGGACCCGGAAAGGGAAGGACCCCTGAGTTGTTGGTGATTCAGTGCTCTTGCTGACATTTACATTAATGAGTGAGGGGAGGAGGTGTGTGTGTTTGTGCACGGGGGTCAGCAGGCAGATCCAGCAGCTTTTCCAAAATGTGTGTTAGCATAGCTTTCCCTTGAACGTGCTGTTCCTAGGAGGTCTCACTGCAGGCACACCCTAGGCATCAGAGACTATTTTAATCCAAAACAGAACTTTTTCAGTTATTACAGGCTAAACTACACCTTGGGCCAATGCTGGCTTGGGCTGGCTGATGCTCAGTCAAGCACTGAGGAGTGTCCCATCAGGAATCCTCCTCTGGGCTGGGGTTTGGGATTTGGGAGTCTCTCTGCTCCCCAGCTGTAATCCTAGCTCTAGTAGATGTATTGTTTACAAGCCCTCCTAAAGGGCAGCTTGGGGCTTCCTCCCACATTTGTGCACATTTCTTCCTGCAGATGGAAAGCCTGTTTCCACCGATGTGATTGTGCTGGGCCGGACAAATCTCCTCATTCCTTCCAGCCAGCCCCATCACTCAGGGGTGTACGTCTGCCGTGCTAACAAACCCCAGACCAGGCAGTTCGTTACAGCCGCAGCTGAGCTCCGGGTCCTTGGTGAGTAGAGAGCAGGATATATGTTCCAGGTAGAAATGCTGGCCAGGTAGCTGTGGATTACCTGGACCAATGTCCAGGAGATCCCTAAGAAACTGCGTCTGTGGCTCGTGCTGGGTAAGATGGGAGCCAGGTTAGAGCCAGGAGGCCCTGGGTTGGGATAGCTCTCAGTGGGAGTGTCGCCTCTTTAATTTGGGGTTTAGTTCCTTGTATTTACTGAACCGTTTTATGCCTTATTCTTGTTCTCCAGGGTTTTTCCCCATGGAAATCTGTATCAGCAATTAACTTCCAGTATCGTGGAAGCCAGCAGGGAGAGCAGCCTAGGATCAGGGAACGCAGCACATGATTGATACAGAATTTATTTTTCCTTTTGGACAGAGTCTAAATTAAGCCTCTAGAGTCTGCCTGGCAAATCCTATCTTGTAAGCAAAGCTGCTACTGAATAAAACATAGCACCGAGCGGGGAGGAGAAGGGATTTGCTTTGCTATCTTTTCCTCCTCCTTCCTGCATTAATTTGTCCTCTCTCCTCCCAGCTACACCCAGCATCTCCCAGGCTCCTGAAACCATCTCACGCACCCGAGCCAGCACAGCCCGGTTTGTCTGCAAGGCGGAGGGCGAGCCAGCCCCGACCATTCACTGGCTGAAGAACGGCGAGTCCATCCTCTCCAACGGGCGGGTGAAGGTCCAGAGCAGCGGGAGCCTTGTGATCAATCAGATCGGGCTGGAGGATGCCGGCTACTATCAGTGCGTGGCTGAGAACAGCCTGGGCATGGCTTGTGCCACTGCCAAGCTCTCAGTGATCGTGCGGGAGGGTTTGCCCAGCGCTCCCAAGAAGGTGTCAGCCGTGTCCCTCTCCAGCAGCACAGTCCTTGTGTCCTGGGAGCGGCCAGAGTACAACAGCGAGCAGATCATTGGCTTCTCGTTACACTACCAGCGGGCTGTGGGTACGTGTTACCTGCCTGTGCGACACAGCCGTGTTGCAGGTGCAAGACACAAGGAACAGGTTGACTTTCTTCCCCAGCTAGTGACGTGTGAGGCAATTCCAGTTAGTTTAACCCTTTTTGTTGCAGATAAAGGAATTTTCTCTTGGAGTCAGCATCAGCCTGTGACAGTGCCTGTGGATCAGCTGACATACAGTAACTTGTTGACCAGCAGTAGCGTGTCCGCGTAGCAGAGTTGTCTGGATTCTAGTGGGGCTGGGCACTCCTGGAAATTTATTTCTGTTCTTTACTTTTTCCTCCAACACATTGCTTTTATATGCAAAGGGTGTGATTATTAATGGAGATATTAAACAGCTACATTGTGTACAGGGGTAATCACTAAATTATTCACACTCAGGATCTGAAGTGAGGCACTCGAGTCTCTTGGGGTCTGTCTTTCCAAGCAGCCAACAAGCCAATATTCTTGCTGAACTGTTGCCAAAACTCCTCTGAAAATTAAGCCAGTAACTTCAGCTGCCTTAGCATGAATTAAGAAGCTTGAGTCAAAATGGGGATGTTAACGTTGAGGTATTGAATGTTTCTGCCCAAAGAGTTCACATAAGAGACAGGTTTTGTGCAGGTGCTGGGGAAACTGGAGAAGACATAGTGATTTTTAAGGTGGATTTACACTATGGACCTTGTGGGTTAAGTGATATTTTTCGAGGAGTGTCTTGGTAGTTCACTGACCTTCTGATCGGTGTTTCCTTGGCTCTAGGAACAGATAACGTGGAATACCAGTTTGCTGTCAATAACGATACCACTGAGCTGCAAGTCAAGGACCTAGAACCCAATACCAACTATGTCTTCTACGTGGTCGCGTATTCTCAGCTTGGAGCCAGCCGGACATCCTCTTCCATTATTGTTCAGACCCTGGAGGACGGTGCGTTGAATTAGATGGGTACTGGTGCCTAAAACATGTTCTTGACCTGTTTCATGGTGAGCGTTGAATATACTCTGGAGAATAGTATCAGCTCCTAGAAACCTAAACCTACTGCTCCTACAGCTTCTTCTCAAAAGCCCTTTTTAAAAAAACCCCAAACAACAGACCAACCAAAACCCAAGCACCCTGGTCTGATCCTCAGCTTGGGTGATGAAGAGCATGAAAATGGCCTCACTGACACCAGGGCCCGTGACAATCCTGTGGGAACTGCAGTCAGCTCCTCTGGGCTTTCACCTAGCTAATGTGATATTGCTCCAAACTTGACTCTGGGCCAGACTTGATTTTAGCTCAGAAGACAGACATCTATTGCAATTTGTAGGGGTGGGAGCAGCCTGGAGGTTGGATCTCTTAAGAACCAGTAGTTTGTGTTGAATTTACCATTTATCACATTTCGTGAGCAATAAAGGCAGAGTGCCAGAAGGACAGCTGCCCAACAGGGAAGGACATGGACAGCTTTCAACAGACTGCAGGACAGAGGCAAGAAGCAATGGCTTTGGCAGACCTCGTGCAAGCCCCTGCTATGCTGCAGGGTGCATTATGTGCTTTCAGTACTCCTGACATAGTGAACTGCGTGGTCCCACGTGTATCTGTCTGAAGCCAGAAAAGCTGAGTTGAAAGCACGAAAGCTGCCTGCAGCGCAGAGCTGTGATTCTCGAGGGGATGGGGATTCCCGGACTGAAGTCTGGATCTGTGAGCTGTTTCCTTTAGTATCTCCTTTGCGCTCCACAGTACAGCGTAGGCCCACTAGCTGCTCTGTGCTAACCTGCCCAGTTTGCGGTCGACATTTTGCTTCCCTGGGGAGCAGTGTGGTGTGGCCAGCAGGCTCTGAGCAGCCTGTTGAAGCTGCGCAGCCCGCCGTCGCCCCTCCCCAGACACCCTGTCGATGATCCGAGCTGCTGAAGAGCTGTGGGGTATTGGTTCCTCCTGTGACAGACAGCATGTCACCAGCGTCTGGGCAGGGCCAAGACCAGGTAGTGGCCTCCAGCCAACAGAGAGAGCTGGCAAGAGATGTGTTGAGGTCTTGCCCCGGTCTTTGCTGACTTCCCATTGTTGCTTTTGTCCAGTTCCTAGTGCTGCCCCTCAGCTGTCCTTGTCGAGCATGACTCCTGGTGACATCCGTGTGACATGGCTGCCTCCTCCTCCACAGCTGAGTAACGGCAAGATAACAAAGTACAAGATTGACTACTGCACCCTCAAGGAAGGTGAGCGAAACACTGTTTGGGGGTTGTGTGTGTCTTCTGCTCCAGCAGTGTTAACAGATCATGTGGAGGGGAGGGGGTGCAAGGCTGAAAATGGAGGGACCCCTTTTTACTCAGGGGAGGAGAACAGTCCTCTTGTAGCCTGGCTCTGCCGGTGGTGGTCACAGCAGTGCTGGTGCCGTGCTACTTCACACCACGCTGAGGTGCCTTTTCCTGTGATTGTGGAGGAGCCTGTGCCCCCAAGGGAATGGCCCGATGTTGCGTGTTTGTGCTGCCCCGTGAATGTCTGCGTGAGCAACTGTTTGGTGCCATCTGTGCTGTGTGTGTTGGGGAATAGCTTTATGCTGGTTGGGTAAGAAGGGTAAATGCATTTGATTCCTTTAAAATGGAGTCTAATCAAAGTGATCCTTGTGGAAAAAAAGCAAGTATCCTGGCCAGGCTGTGTTGATCTGTTTCTGAGTTTTATCCGGTTTTATTTATATTGTCAGACACTCCAAGAAGCCTTCAGCGGGGATAGTAATGTTTCCCTATGCTGGATGCGGCTGTTCCAATTCCGCGTGTGCTTGCTTTTCAAATCCTTCTGGGTATTTGCTCTTAAAACCGTCAAAGCTCTGCAGCTTCTCAGTTGCCAGGGTCATGATTTTTACTAAGAGAAAGATGGGAAGTGTGATGAAGTGCGGGACATGTTCCCGTGTATTTGATCTGGATTAGTAGTCTGCGCTGTGACTCCTGAGCCTGCACGTGGCTCTGTGGCACTGTAAAACCTTGGAAACGTTTGCAGTCCAGGGATCACACTCAGCAATACACTGTTACATAGCAGGGACAGCGCTCCCAGCTGAGTTTACGCCAGGTGAAGCTGAAAAGCAAGACCTCTGCGTTCACCAAAGAGGCAATGTGAATCTTCAGCAAGACCAATTAGTTGTTACAGTGAAAATCCCAGGCTACTCTCGGGTTAAATTTCCTGTTATCTCCCTTATGAACTTGGGCCGGCTGAAGAGGGAGCGATAAAACCTCAGTCTGGAGTGAGTGAAGGTGTGAATTTTGCAGAAAGCAGGGCTGCTGGAGAGATCTGGTTCAAATTAAGGTGAGGATTTAAATACAGCAGAGAGCAGCACGGAAACGTACCATCAGCTGTGCTCGTGTTCTGCCATTGTGTCAGCAGCAGCAGCAAGGTTTGACGGCTCCCCTCCAGGCAGGCTCAGTGGTGCTGACGGTGACCTGCAGTTTTGAATGTGGTGAAGGGGGTTGTCAGTCAGGATATCGGCTTTGCCCCATCTTTAGTTCTAGTTTTTCCTGGCGGCATGAGATCACACTGGGCACAGCCAAGCCAGCCCAGGGCATGCAGACCATGTGGGGGTAGCTAGGCTTTTTGGCTGCTCAGTTGGATTTCCCTTTGACTGCGAAAACCACGTTTTCAATGGTGTCGCCTTGGTTCCAGCAGATCAGGTTACCTCCATTGAAGTGGGTGGAAATGAGACGCAAATCACTCTCTACTCGCTCCATCCCAACAAAGTGTACAAAGTTCGCATCGCAGCCAGCACCAGCGTGGGCTATGGGGCCCCTTCTGAGTGGACCCAGCATCGGACTCCTGACAGAGACAACCAGACGCACGGTAGGAGGCTGGGTGATGCCTGGGATTCGGGGTGGGGTGTGAGGGCATCGGGGAACTTGAGGCATGATCAGAGATGTTTGCTTTCACGAGGGAATTATAACTGTTGGTTTTGGTACCCACCTTTATCTTTCTGTTGAGCAGCCCCTGTATGTCTTGCTGCTTGCCTGGTCCTCCCTCCATGCACAGCTGTGAAAATTCTTGAAAAAGAAAGAAACAAACACAAAACCTAAACCCCGATGTTAGGACATCTTGGGAGTGGATAGACAATTCTGCCAAACAGAGCTGAGCCCAGGCCAGACTCCAGCAGGGGTTAAAGATGGTGTTATCTCAGAAGATGTTGAGAAGTTCCCATAGTGGCTTTGTGACATTGTTTTTTCTTGTATCACCCAGCTGGTAAAGTCAACAGTATAGCATAACTGTACCACTGTCAGACAGTGGAGACATCCCACTGCCCAGGACAGCCTTTCCTCACACTCCTCCCTCACTGCCCATGACAGGGAAGATTCAGTAGAGCAGGGAAATGGAGACAAGCAGCTGAACATTTTTCTCTTGTCTTTTTCTTCTTCTAGTTCCATTTGCCCCGACAGAATTAAAAGTCCGAGCGAAGATGGAGTCTCTCCTGTTAACATGGCAGCCCCCAGCCAACCATGCCCAGATATCTGGCTATAAACTCTACTACCGAGAGGTGGGCCCAGAGGAGTCCAGCGAAGAAAGCCCTTTGGATGGTGCTGAAGATGAGAGCTGGGACGTAGGACCCATAAAACTAAAGAAGAAAGTGAAGCAGTACGAGCTGACTCGACTAGGTTAGCTGGTTACATCTTCTTAGCAGTTGGTGTGGAAACCCAGGGTCTGTCTCTTGCACTGTGTAGTAGTCCCAGGATGCTTCCAAGAGGTTCAGTTATCTGCTTGACTGCAGATACATAGGACCAGGACCATGTGAGCTTTTTAAAGAGCATCCAAAATCATTTCTGGAGTGGGGCTCTTGGGGCTTGTTCTAAGCAGAGTTTAACACACAGAAATTTCTGATGCCAATGTAGCAGGGATTGTATTTTTAACCAAGGGCTACTAATATACTTAGTGTACGCTAATAAGTGGATCTGAATCAATTAATGTTTTTTATTGTGTCGCTATGAATAGTGCCTAGATTAAAATCTCCAGTCAGGACAATGATCTCTCCTTCCCTGCGTATTTCTAAGAAGCTCCATAATTGAATGCTATTTGAAATCTCTCTCTATTAAAATGCAGAGATGGGTTAATTCACAGCATGCTAATTTTGGGTCAGTATTCTCCTCCACCTGCCCCTGAAGGAAAAGGGATAGAAGACTGAGTGTGTGTGGCTGGAGAACAGTCTGCATCACAGTCAGATCTGCCTGCCTGATCGTACTAATTAGTTGGTTTATCCGTTGATACAGGATGGAGAGAGAGAAGAGTGTCATGGAAGATGCATCCTTGAAACAGGATTCTGCTTCTTAGAGTTCTTCCATCCCCCACTGCATGCTTCATCCCTGGTACTGCCCAGTGAGCTGAAAGTGCAGGGCGAGCGTTTCTCATGCTGGTTCATCTTATACGTCTAGCATATATATTATGCATGGTGTAAAGGTCAGGCTGCAGCACCTGGAAAGACAGTTTGTGTCATCACTAAGTAGGTTTCCAGCCATTTTGCAGCCATCCTGCCACTGAGAGGGTGTTAACAGTTATGAGTTTCTCTGAAGAATTTAGGTCTGTAATTATTGCACCGAGGAAACCACATGTGAACATCATCACGTGCTGCACTAACCACTGGCAAGTCAGTTAGCGGAGGGACTCGGGAGTTGGCTGAATTGGTTCCAAATGCTCTGGCGCAATGATGCTGAGAAGGCTGCTTGTTCTTCTGTAATTACTTCCTTAAATTTGGGCATCCGTCAAGCCCTAATGGTTTCCGTATGATTCGGCGGTTGTGTATCGGCTATCAGTGTGTCAGGAAGAGAGTCTTGGGTTTCTTCCAGCCGTGGATGTTCTCTTTCTCCCCCTTATGCTGTTGAATGACAGGCTCTTGCGCGTGTACAGTAAAGGGGTCAGGGATCTGGCTGTGTGGAGAAAGGCAGGGGGTCTGGACATGAAAACAAGGAGTGATTGGGAGTTAGGAGGGTTTAGGTTTATGGCAGGGACCTACCCTGCGCAGGTACTTACACCTGCATTAGGGGTCTCGGTGGAGAGTGAGTAGCAGTCCCAGGAAGGGTTGGCAGCCCTAATGGGATCTACGCTTCTGCACATCAGGGAAGCAGCTGGGGGGATTTCCCAGCTCATGGATGTCTGCCTGGGAAGCACAGCAGCAGAAACCTCTCCTAAGATCCCTCAGTAAAAACAAACAAACGAAATACCCAACACTGTCTCTTGGGAGTATCTCTTGATGTAAGGGGGTTGTGTGTGGTGAACGGTGCTGTCTGGTGGGAGACAGAGATTTGCCCAGGCTGGCCCACGGGAGGTGGGCTGTTGAAGAGGTGTCATGGCTGAAACTGCAAATTGGGTTAAGAGCTTGAAGAGATACGAATAGAATAGAATGTTCTTTGTTTACATAGAACAGAATATTTCAGTTGGAAGGGACCTGCAACATCATCTAGTCCAACTGCCTGACCACTTCAGGGCTGACCAAAGGGTAAAGCAAATTAATTATAAAGGGCATTGTCCACATGCCTCTTAAACACTGATAGGCTTGGGGCATTGACCACCTCTCTGTCCTGCAGGCTTCCTCATCCTTTGCCTTACCCCCAACATCTGGCTTCTTGATTTTGCCTTTGGTAATGCCCCAGCTGTCTCCATTACCTGTCTGAAATAAAAGATGATTTTTCTCCTATGCTTGTGTTAACCTCTGGAGCAAACCATGTCTCGTTAGAGTGATACTGTTAATGATGTGCCTCGTATCTTGTCCGAGAGTTACGTGCTGAAATCCTGTGAGAGAGGTGGGCAGCTGTTCAAAGGCACATAAGAAATACAGGAATTTCATGAGCCCACAAAATCAAAAGGAAGCTGTACTGACTGAATCACCAGGAGGGCTTTTCCCTGAGAAATTCTCATTCATTTCCATCTACATTCTAGCAGTTAGTCTTTGTAATGGTGTGCAACTACCAGGGCCATATTTTACATGAAAAATAAATGGTAAGGATCTGATCCTGTCTTCCATATTCCCACAAAGGAAGAGTGCATTCCTCTGGGAGTGACTCCCTGGCGATCAGGGTATTTTCCCACTTACGGGAAAGTATGGCATATGGCATCTGGCCAACATGAACACCTTGAAAAACTGAATGAAACAACATATTTAGTGTGCTGGATATATTACACAGTCATCCAGATTAGTGATTTGAAATGATCTGGACTAGATTATTCTGCTTATATTTAATGTATGATGGAATGCAGTGAAATACATCTGTTTTCATGCTGCCTACTAGCTTCTTGACAGCTTGATAGAGCTTTATGTCTGCATGTTCTAAGAGCTTCAACATCTGGGCCTGTGTATAAAAATTGAAGCCAAGCCTCTGACTGAGAAATCCAAAATAACCCTATTTTCAGAATGTGAATTGCTTGATCTTGTGGTAGAGCTCTCCTGGCTTCACGTGTAAGTGGCTGCTGTATTGATCCGACCCAGAGATGGAGATGGAGGACTTGTCCTTTCCTTCCCTTCGTTCTCCAACAGGAGCTGCCCGCAGCTGTGTCACATCTGTGAGCTCTTCCTCACCGTTTTCAGTCGCATCATCTGCAATGAGCTCGTGTCCCAGTGAAGCCCAGCTAAATGCTCAGGCAGGAGGCGGAGTGTGTGTGCTGGTGAGAGACAGGCTCTGGGGTTCTTTGTTTCACCGAGCCCGTGGTCCCAGCCATTTGGAAGTTGAGCACCCTTTGGCCTCTTACCCCCTGTGTGGGTTTGAAGCATTTTCCTGTGGCTGGAGAGTGTGGAAATGCAGATGAGGCTGCCTTGGAGGCAGACAAAACTCTGTTTGCTTTTGGGATTCTTTTGGGGAGAAAAATGTGGCTGAACTGTTTTTATATTCTGAGCGCGAACATGTGTTGTGGAGCAGAGAAAGCCTTTGGTAATTGGTACCATTAGCCTCTGGGAGCATAATCAGTGCAGTAATAATAAAATTGGCATCAATAAGAAAGGTTTTATTCTGCTTACGTTGTCTGGCAAAGAGAGCAGTGATCTGTCAGGGCAGGGAATGAACACGCACGTCCCAAATTAACAAACTTCATCAATGCGCTGCAGCCAAGGCAACCAAAGACAGTCTGGACTGTTCTCGCTGAGCTTCTGAATGGGCTGGCTGCTGAAGGGAGAAGCTGGCGAGTGTCTTAATTGAGAACTTTGTATCTCCCAAGTTGTTTCCTCGATTAAACATCTCCATTAAAAAAAAAATAACATCAGATGTTACTTAACACAGCAGAGGAGTATTTCAGCTGATGAAAGGCCAGAGGAAAGTGGGAAGTGAATTTTGGACCGGGGCAGCACTGCTTGGAGCAGAGCGTCCTGTCCTGCAGCTCAGTTTGGGTCCAAGTGTGAGGTTCCCCATAGAGTGCCTGGCTGTCTGATGGGAAGGGTGTGTAATGAGCATCCTCAGGTTTCTGGTGTGGGCTGTGTGTGAGCTTTTCTAATTGCAAATGAAGAAATTCTGCTGTGGAGGCAAAATAGTCACTGCACAACAAAAGCTGCCAGTGACTTAACAGGGTGTGCGAGGACTTGCTGGAAGGAAGATTTTCACAGCAGTGAATAAGTCAGAAAGGACTTTAGAAATGGGAGGTGCATTTTGGAGTGGAGAGGATATCCTCAGTCTTCAAGAATAAACAGTGCAGTGCATCCGCTTCCCTGGGGGGGGGAGAGAGGAGTCATCGTCGTGCATTGGTTTTTTTAGTAGTCTGCAGGGAAGAAAGATAGGAGATCCTGAGATGATGTGCTACAGTCCATGACACTGGTTAACCCTTGGCAGCTGGGGCAAGTCTATTTGCTGCTGCTAATTTCTCTAAAAAGTAAGAGGAGAACTAGAGAGTAGCTGTGATGATACGTGCACCAGTTGTGAGACAGTATTTGAATGTGAAGAGCCTGTAAGTGGAAGAGGGGGCTCCCTGATGTTTTTTAGCAAATACAACTCTGTTCAAGCTACTTTCTTGAATGCTGAGAAAAGCTGGTCAGATCAAAGAAAACATGTCTAACTGGGGAGGGTTGGTAACAAAAATAACCCCAGACAAACCCTGATTGATTTTTCCAGCTCCTGGGAAACTCTATGAGGTGAAGCTGGTGGCATTCAATAAGCACGAAGATGGTTATGCAGCGGTTTGGAAGGGCAAAACAGAAAAGGCACCTGCAACAGCAGTAGGTGAGGAATGCCCTTCATTTGTTGTCTGTCTCTTCTGCTTGGCATGTGGCTTCAAAGGAAGGGTAGAGCTAAAGGTACAGAAGATGAACATGAAGGAGAATATGAAAATGGGGAAGGTCCCAGTATGAGGAAACTCCCTGTGACAGTCATTGCAAATTGCATTGGAGGCATTATCTTGGGAAGGAGAGAAAGGAGCAAAATATCCTTCTCATTAGGGTTGTTCTTGTTCTGGGTGTGATGGCCTTCACTGTGTTCTCTCTGGCCCCATTAGTGGGTCAGGGATGGTCTTGGAAATGCCAAATACCCCAGGTTTCATCTCTCACGTTATAAAGATCCTAGAACGGGAATTAGCAGCATGCCAGGCTTTTTGCAGTGTTATAAAGAGAATAAAAGCTCTGAAGACGTAGGCTCCATTCTCAGCTCTACTGGTGTGGGATGGTGAAGAGTCTGGGCTCCTCCTTACCCTGGTGTGGGCCTGTCAGCTGTCCTCCCATGCTCCACAGTAGTACACCACCACCTTGGTGTGTGGATCCTCACTGTGATCTTTCCGCACGTGAGGAAAAGCGTGAACTGCTGTGCGCACAGAAGGCCTGAGCCAGACACCTAGGCTTACGCTGGAGGCCAGCATATTGGTGCAGGCTTCACACCCTAGGCCTATTTTACTCCGTGTTTTCTGTGTCCGTGACGGCTGTCCCTTGCCTTACTCTCGTGTATGTCTCCACATCTCTTTTCTCTTTTTGTCTTGCACTGTAGATCCCCCTGTGCAGAAGGGTCCTCCGCTGCCTCCAGTCCAAGTCTATGCAGAGTCCAACAGCTCAACTTCCATATGGCTTAGGTGGAAGAAACCTGACTTCACAACAGTCAAAATCGTCAACTACACCGTGCGCTTCAGCCCCTGGGGCCTGAAAAATGCCTCTCTTGTTACATACTACACGAGGTAAAGTGGGATGATAAGGGTTCAGCTGCCATGTATTGAAGTTCCAGTACTGAGCAAAATCTGGGTGTTCCATGTGCTGGAAGGGTCTGCCTTGGTCACGGTTCCATTCAGAACTGGCGAAATGTGTGGCACTGAGTCTTGTCCGTGACCTAAATACCAAAGGATCATTTACTGGCTGGTCTGTGCATCTTTTTTTTTCTGCTCTGGTTGGACCTCACGTGCTTGCTTCCCTGTTAATAACAAAGCTAGGTGCAATTATGGCTTGTTTCAAAGCCTTCATGATTTGTGAGGTGGTCCTCACAAGTTTGGTTTAAAAATTGCTAGTTTAAGCAGTTATAATAATTTGGGGATGTATTTTAAATTTGGATTCCTGTGGAGGTTTTCAGCCTATAACCAGGCTGTGTTTTCAAGCTTTTCTCTGCAAGTACATCAGAAATGGTCCTAGAGGCTGGGAACGTACTTTGCTCTGTATCTGGGCACTGAGTGCTCTTGCATTCACTGGCCTGCAGGAGATGAAGATTTAGGTGAAAAATCAAATACTGTAAGAGTTAGGATAATCTCTTACAGTGTTCCTGGTAAGGTATCAAGGTGACAGTGGCTGGGGGAACCATCGAGTGGTTATGGCCTTGCAGTGTTCCTGGTAAGGTATCAAGGTGACAGTGGCTGGGAGAACCATTGAGTGTTCATGGCCTTGTGAATGTGTCCTCTTTCGGCAGCTCGGACGAAGACATTCTTATTAGTGGGTTGAAGCCCTACACCAGGTACGAATTTGCCGTGCAGTCCAATGGTGTGGGCATCGATGGGCCCTTTGGCAGCGCGGTGGAGCGGTTAACCCTTCCTGACCGTGAGTATTTATGGGAATTGAATCCTGATTTCTTCTGACTTTTGCTGAATCTTTATCAAATCCCTCCTAATGTGCCCCTGAGAGATGTGATCTCGGATCACCTCTAAGCTCTGATGCCCCTGAGTACATGCTGAGAGCCACTAAGCATCCTGGTGGCTTTCCCAAGCCCATTAAAGGAGTGCTGCTTTGTAAAGAGAGGAGCATGTAAAGAGATTTGGGGCACTGATTGCTGTTACTGTGGGGTTGCCTCTCAGTTCAGAGAAATTCTGCTCATTAGAGACAGCTGATAAGCTTAAGCGCTAGGTCCTCCCTGTGCTCAATGTCATTGTCAGAACAAGAGTGCCTTGCCCAGCCTAGTTTTCTAGTAAGACCTCCACCTCTTAGCTTCAGGCCTGGTGAAGGCTGGGAGGCAGAGATGATCGTGGGAGCTGCGGTGAGTTAGCTCCTTACTCTGTGACAGCTTCTCTAGTATTCAGCTCCACAGAGCAGCAGCAATGGCCTCTGGAGGTGTTGCGTGTCCTACGCCAGCTGGGACTAGTTGTGGTCCAAGCAGGGCTTTGGGGAAGATAGAGGATAAAGCAACAAGGAGTAAAGGTGTGCTTGGAATATTCTTTCAAAGATGGGCAGTGTTGCACAGCCTCAAACTGAGCTGCATGGCTTCATCAGCACTGTCATGCTTCCCTTGGCTGGCTGGCCATGATGCACAAGTCCTGCCCTGGACTCGGGCAGGACTGGGGCTCAGCAGCCTTCTCTCTGCGCCCTCCAGAGCTTGTTTGGATGAGGTGTCCGGCCACCCAGGTTGCCCGTCATTTCATGCTTGCAAACATGGCTGTGGCACCACTGAGAAGGAATCAGAGAAGGCACAGACCATTTGTCACATCCTGCAGGTTAAATGATCTCCTCTTCTGCTCTTCACGCTGGGTCGTTATTGTCTCTGCCAGGTCCCTCGACTCCTCCATCTGACCTGCGGCTGCACCCGCTCAACCCCTATGCTGTCCAGGTGCACTGGTGCCCCCCTGTCGAGCCCAACGGCATCATTGTGGAGTACCTCATCCTGTATAATGCCAACAACACGCAGCCAGATGACATGTGGACCTTGCTGACGCGAGAAGGTGAGCCTCCTCGAGGTACTGTAATACCCCACCAGGTCCTGCTCCTCCTCCTGCCTTCTTCCCTGCCTGCGGAGCCCTGGTTGGTCACTTCTCCTGCCCTGATTTTTGCCTCACTTTGAGCACATACAAATAAACATTCAAGAACTCCTGCTGCCAGCTTTCTTGGAGAATGTGCTGGGCCTTGCTTCTGGTCATATAGGAGAGTCCAGGGACACAACTACTGAGAGAAATGAAATCATACATGTCTAGGGCTGAAATAGCCATTATCACCCAGCAAACATCCTGTAGACACAGGCTGGCAGCTAGTAATTCCTAGGAGAACGTGCAGTCTGTATCATCAGCTCTTTAAGGAGCAAGTTCATTCATACCGAAGAGGTGTATAAATTACCTCTTAGAGCTCATGATACAAAATCCCTCGCTTCTGAGGGTCCAACACAATTGCACTGCTGCTTTGCTGCAGCCTCTGAATACTCTTGAAACTGCATGTTTAAAACCTTTTTTGATTTGCTTTTGATCAGGAAATATCTTCAGCACTGAAGTGCATGGCCTGGAAAGTGATACCAGATACTTCTTCAAGATGGGAGCAAAGACAGTCGTGGGATCTGGTCCCTATTCAAACGTTAAGGATGTGCACACCCTCCGGGAGAAGTTGTCTGGTACGAATTTCCCCTTTGTCCCAGTGCAGAAAGCGAGTCGCGTTGCTGAAAACCGCCATTTGTTAGCAGCAGCGTTTCTGTTTGCCAAGCAATTGCCTGTCACCACTCGGGATGTGCGATGTGACAACATGTGGGCCAGCGCAGAGGATGATGGCAGAGTCCTCGGATGTGCAGCTCCACTGCCTCAGGCAGCTCCAGAACCCATTCCACAGAACCTCATCTCTCTTCCCTGTCCCAGCTCCTGCGGAAGGCCATGGGCAACCTGCATGTTGTTGCCTTTCTGTTAGGCCTGTGTAGTGTGAAATTAATGAATGTGCATAGATGCCAGTTTGCTTTAAGCTGCTTGAGATTGTCACTGCCAAGTAATCTTCCTTTACGTGTACAGAGGCATCACCTATTGGTTTTAGTGAAGCTGGTGCTTCTCGGAACATAAGACTTTTTGTACCTTCTTCCTGCTAGCGGCTGAACTGATGTATCTGTCCTTCCCCTACTAGATGTTCTGGATATCCATTCTGTCACGGGAATCATTGTGGGAGTCTGCCTGGGGCTGCTCTGCATTCTCTTCTGCATGTGTGCCAGCTTCCGCAACAGCAAGCAGAGGTAGGTGTCACCTCGCCTTTGCAGGAGGTAAAGGAGGCTGATGTGCAAGGAGACAAAATACACCGTGAGCTACTTCCCCACGTTCAGCTGGGCTGTTTGGGATGCGGTGTATGACATCAGTTAATAGAAAGATTGAGTCTTGGGAGTGCTAGCTGGCTAAGGAACATATTTAGTATAGTCTTTTTACTGATTTATTTTCTCAGTAGTTTCTGTTTAATTTGCATTGCTAGACTAATAGAGTTTTTTTTTCAGAGAAAAAAAAACAAGAAAAGGGAAAACCCACTATTTGCTGGATTATTACCTGTGTCTGTTAGTGTGAGCAGTATTTTGCTTCTGAGGTTGGACAGCTCTAAGGATGTTTGGAAAGGGTTGGTTAACTTCCAGTTGGGAAAATGATGAAAGACTTCCCAGTGAGTGACAGGCTGGTTTAAGGAGGACTGAACTCAGCCCAAAGCCCCTGTTGTCCAAGGGTTCTGAATCCTGCCACAGCGTTTGGAAAGACCATGGTCAGAAACCAGCTTAGTTGTGGAGTAGAGCTTTGAGCTGGTGGCAGGAGTAGGAACAAGCAACTTCTGAAGTATCATCCTAATGTGGCCACCAAACTTTTCTGTCCTGGTGCATCTCTCATCTGTAAAGCAGAGATGACAGGAGTGACATGACTCCCTGCGTCAGGGCAGGGGCTTGGGCTTGGTTGCTTCCACAAGGACAGGCTGAGTGGCCCGGAGGGCATTGCTTTGGCAGTCTGTGGCTGTTTGGGACAGAGGGAAGTGAGGCTCTTGAGAGATGTCATGCTCGTTTTCCCTCAGGGAGGCCCTGCCCGGCCTGGATTCCCAGGCAGCCGGCAACCACACTTACTACCACCGGAGCAGACAAGGAGTGGCAGCTCCCAGTGCCACCTTGGACTCACATGAGCTAGAGTCCCTCATGTCCCCGCTGCCGGAGGATGCCCCTGTGCCCCTGGGGGACATCACAGAACTGACGGAAGTGCACAGCCTCATCCACACGAGCCTCCCTGATGACATTGTCCACGGGAAGAGGAAGGTAAGGACCCACATGCATGGTGACTGGGCTCCCACCCTAGGCAAGAGCCTTTGTTTGGCGTGTCGGTGCTGGGAAGCCAGGGGCCAATCGTGTCCTGGCTCTGCAAAGTGCTGGTAGTCTTGGCTGCAGGCTGGTGCTGGGCAGCCATGTGTTTCCCTCTGTGTAAAACTGCCTTGGCTCAGTTTGGGATCCCCGTGCCACCTCCCACCCCTTGTCATCCCCTGGGACAGCAACCCCTCATCCCCGGAGAAGCAGCTACCAAACGTACTGCTGCAGAAAGCTGTGCTGTTCCTCTTGCTGTGGCGTATAGATGGTGTGAGAAAGTGTGGTGTCTAGAGTAGGTGCTCTGCCGTCTGGGATACTCTTTTGCTTAGAGTAAAAGGAGCTTTGTCCTTAAGTAGCATGTTCACTGGAATACCCCTGAAGAATATAAGAGGTGAAATTGTGTTTTATTTGTGAACCTTATTTTTTGAAGCAGTCTTTTCCTGCCCCGCTTGGTTTGCCTGATGTTGCATTGTCTTTCACTCCTTCCTGCCCATTTCCTCTCTCAAGCTTGCCTGAACCATTTCATTCCATTAGGGAACCTTTAATTGGCCTAATTTAGTTAATCTGTTTATGTCTCTCTTTGTAGCCCAGGGAGAGCATGTAAAGTAATTAGGAGGTTCAGTAAAACAAATGTATTGTGAGCGCATGGGATTTCATGTTTGCATCAACGATGCACTCGTGTGTCCCTGGAAGGAAGGTGAGTTCAGGATACCTGGCTAACTGCAAGGCCTGTGCTTGCTGCCGGTGCAGCTGTGGTCTTTTGGAAACATGACGTCTTCTGCTGCTTTTAATAGTCCTGTGAGCTGAAGCCGTGCTCTTGGCCATCCCCAAGTGCCATGGCAGAGCAGCGCTCAGCTGAAGGAGAGGCAGTTTGCAGCCAAGCCGCATCTATGGATTTCGGTGGAATGTAGCTGCCTGTCTGGACCCAAGCCGAAGTGTGCGAGGAATTTCCTACTGCTAAATATAAGGAACAAATGTTTTCAGGGATGGTGACTTACCCTGAGAACAGGTCAGGGTGGGAGTTCCCTCCCTCGGGAGGCCTTTCTGGGGGCAGCATCCAAAGCAGCAATCCTCTCTGCAGGGGTTTACAGAAAGATTATAATGTGTGCAGAGCAGGGGCTGCAGAGGGCAATGCCAAGGCCTGGCTCAGGGCTTAGCTGAGAGCTTGGGGCCCCCAGCATCTGTTGCAGAGGCTGGCAGTGGTGTCCAGCAGTGGAGTTATGTCCAGACATCAGAGCTTCGGGGAGAGGGGCGATTCTGGCCGTAGTGTCTCTGCCTCCATAATTGGATGGAGCAAGGCTGCAGAAGAGTTAAATTCACTGAGGATTTTTGCCAGCAGAATAAAGAGCTTGTTTTCTTGATGGATGTGGGTAGCGAAGCAAGGATCGCTGAGGAGCAGCCGCACGCAGCCACCCGGAGAGAGTGTTGTCACCCATGCCGACCAGTGAGGATGACCTGGCAGGTGAAGGAGAGCTCGAGTGGCGGCTGGGAGCAACAGGCTGTTGTTGCTGGGAGTGGGCACTGGAGGGAGATGTGCTCCCACGCAGGAGGCCATGCTACTCCACTGCCCAGTTCCTGCTGGAAGTGCCACCTGAGCCAGCCCTGAGCTCCACTGCATCCTCCCTGTACTCTGACATGTATAATCAAGGGTGAAAAGACTCAGGCCAAAAACATCTTTCTGCTGCAGTTGCCAAGAGGCCACGTGTCTGGATGGCGATGTGATTTTACCTGGCTGGGTGGTCAAGGAGTTGGGCAGGTCTCATGAGCATGGCCAGACTGGTGCACACATGTCTGGTCCCCACAACAGATGTAAATCAGAGTCTGGTGCAGTTGCAAGTGTGTGCATCTCCCTGCTTGTAGACAAAATGCTACTAGCCAAGGCCCGGGAGTGGGTTGTAGATTCCTTGGGTTGTCTTGTGTGCTGCAGATAGCTTCTTCCAGCAGCCATTTAAGCTAGGCTGCCAAAACCCCCCAGGGACCCTGTCTGGAGCCGAGTGTTGCCAGGAGCTTTGTACCCTACAGTGACCAGCTGCCTTTGTTGCCTTCTCTTTTCTTCTCTCATGCTGTGTGTGGTTGGGGCTGTGAAAACCCACGGCAAGGAATGTGGTGGAGCCACAGAAAAGAGAAAATCCTTGTGGAAGGCAGTTCCTGGTCCATCTAGGTCAGGTACCATCACTTGCAGTCCTAGTCAATAAAAGAAAGGGAGTGAGAAATGTCTCAAGGATCCCTTTGATTTAACAGCATATCATGTCACCACAGAGCTCGGGATGTTGGCTGGGACAGACTGTTAGTCCGATGCTGCTAGCACTGTTGGACAGGTTTGTCTAGCTGTGATGCCGAGGGACCTGGTAGCTCCAGGCCTTTGTGACCTCCAGTTGCCTGCTTGCCTCTCTGTCCTCAAGTTAACGCTCCTGAAACCTGGTTTGTGGTGGTTGGGTGGCACTTGCCGTTAGCAGCGGCAGTGATAGCTGCTCCTGTGCTTGTAGGCTTTTCGCATGCTGGCTCATTACTTTGCAGTTCATGGATTATTCTGCATTGGTTTTATTCTTGTGGCAGCTCGAGGTTCCACTGGAGATTGGAGGTTCCGGAGCATGGGAGCCACCTGGCCGCCCTGGCCCTGCCTGCGGGACTGCAAGGTGCTGCTGCACAGCCGAGCTGTCGGCACAGGGCCCCTCTGGATGGCCGACAGCTCTGTTAGGAGTTCGCTTTAGCACACCCTTTTCCTTCCTTTCTCTGCGTTTCCCAGTGGTCACACACAAGGATTTGTAAATACACTGACAAGTGATTTTCCTCTGTTACTCTCTTCCCCTTTCAAGTGACCCCCAGACCGATGCCCTCAGTAGCCCGCGTTATAAATGACACCGTAATGCACAGGCTGTAGCGAGGCAGCTCTGTTTCCCCTGACAGATGGACTGAGGATGATAAAATGGCTCTGCTCCAGACATCTCTGTCACTGCTGCTTTTGGGCCAAGCAATTTAGGGGGTGGGGGAGAATGTTAAAAAGCATCTGCTTTCCATGGAAGACTTCAGCTTTTCGTTGAATGAAGCCAAACTCAAGCGTTTTGGCTTGGAAATGTTTGCCGTTGTGCTTCTCGTGAGCTGGAACCTTCCTTGCTTGCTGCCTCACTTCTTCCCAGTGGGCCTACTCCCCGTGGGAACTGCGTTTCCCATGAAGCATCCCTGTGACTTGGAGAGCAAAAGCCATAATGCATCAGGGAACTTGAATCTACCCAGGTTCTTTGTCATTTTCATGTTGACATTTTTCTGCGTGGAAAAAAAGTCCCAATGTTTTCTGAAAAGTCGTGGATGAGCGCTGTGCTCCCGTTGACAGCCAGCAGAGATTTTCCTTTATCTGGTGGGGGAGGTCTGTGTTATGTTGCATCTTGTTTAGAGGCGCAGGGATGCCTGTATGTTTTTTTGCATGACATGGAGCTTTCCCGCTGCTGTGGTGCCGTTCAGAAATGATTCCTTTCTTTCCCTTAAAGCTGGTCACATCTGAAATGTCCCCAGCCTTGTTTTGCACAGGATTTCAAGCTACTTTAAATAACCATCATCATAAAACAGGGAAGGTTTCAAGATCAACATTTCCTACATGTTCATTCTCAGCTCGTATATTTGCATGAAATCATTACTTGTCACTGAAAAGGTAACATGATCTAGGCACATTTTTACCAGTCAGAGTTTCTATAAAGAGGCTAAAATGAAAAGGCTTGTTTGCTTTGATAAGGATTTAGCTGTAATGGAAACACCTTTTATAGGAAGATGTTTTTATTAGTTTTCATTCTTGTGTTTGCACTGAACTGACAAAGGGATTTTTCCCTCTTTAAATTAGTATTAGACTGACATTCCTTGCCTTCGTTACTCTATTGTAAAAACCGAGAGAACGTTTCCTTGTCTTCCTTCAGCCATTCACCAGCCCCGCACAAGTAGAAATAAATAGTATTGTTTATTACACCGAAAGATACTGCTTAAAAAAGCAGAGAAGATTTGAGGCACACAAGGCCTTCTTCAGGTCTGTGATGAAAACAGACCTGAGTTAATTGCTGCTGCTGCCCAACCTTAGAGACTGAGCCCCAAGAGAGTTTGGGGTTTTTTTTCCCTCAAACATAATGTGCTTGAATAACATGTGAGATATAGGCCATGTTGTGTGGCTGATGGTTTTTTCTGTTTGTTGAAAGTTGCAAACTGGTACAAAACAAGTTTGTTCTTCATTGCAGCCAATTTCAGCCAGAGCTGAACAGGCTGTTCCCAGAGTCATCAAAACCTATGTAAACATGGCAGATTGACATTTCCGCTAACAGATGGTCCATTGGGGATTGCAGCAGAGCTGCCTGTTTCTTTCCACGTTTTTTGGTATTCACAAGATGCCTGCAAGAAGGTTTTCAAGTTTGCTCTCTCTCTGTGTGTGTGTGTGTGTGTACGCGTATGATGCTCAGATCTTTCTGATGGCAAATATGCATGTAAGCATCTATAATAGGACACACATTTGTGTGCATGTGTGCATATTTGTGTAGGTTCAACGCTGAAATTTCCAGGCAGTATTTGCTCAGTAACGTATGTTCCTTGGAAAAGGCACAGAAGCCATCAGTCAGCGATGTAGCTGCAGAAAGCCTTTCAGATGGCAGCAGAAGCAAATCGAACACGTTCCTCAAGCACTCGCATGTAGCGATATTCCTTATTGTTAGCTGTGTGTGATCGCTTGGTTGATTTCTTGCTATTAAAGCGTAGTTTAATGATTGTCCACTTAGAAAGGAAGCAATTAGGGAATGCTCTTGGCTGAGAATATATTGTTGAGGATTGCAGAGAGAGGAATGACGAAGACGACGCCTCCAGCATCCACTTCTAAATTAGCAAATGCTTGATATCCACAGCGCTGGGTTTGGATGTCACTGTTCTGCAGGGTGCTGTCATATAAATGAGGCCCTTTACTACTTGCTTTCTTAAGGTTTGATCCTGAGGCAGCAGCGAAGCTCCTGGGACTTGAGGTTGGTGCTGGGATGGAATGCCGCTCTTCTTCCGAGGTGTTAGAGCCCCTTTGGTGCTTGAGTCGGGGTGGACAGAGAGCGCTCAGGGAAAATGATTCAGCGCATACGTGAGCACTTTAATGCACTTTCTGCTAGCACCGACAGCACGAGGTAGCATTTGCTTCTTGCTAAATAGCTGACTTAGGAATGCCTGGCTCACATACAACATCTGGTCATGTATTTCTACCTAATTTCCAGCCAGATGGACCGAGGCACAAGGAGGTCAAATGACTCACACAAGGTCAGGCTGATGTCAGAAATCTCCTTGCCATCTCGGCTGGACTCATGCTCTGTTGACTGTTGTTGGAATAGATCTGGCCTAAATAGTGGCCGCACATGCAGAGCAGAAACCTGGGTTTCTCCTGCCTGACAGTGAGCAATGGGTGGTTAGTGGGTCTGAATGGCTGTGCCATGTATCTTCACCCTACGCAGCCATTGTGCTCACGCCACCGGTATTCTGTACGCATACGCACACTCGCAGTTGTGTCGGGTCAAGACTTTTTCTCTTTCCTTCAGCCTTGCGTTGGCCTCTCACTTTTCTCCAGGCAACATGCAACATCTGTGGAACGAGCCCAGAGAAAACTGGCTCATGTCTTCCTTAAATCTGAGCACGTGTGTGTGTGTGTATATGTATGTGTACGTGAGTTAGTAGCAAGGCTGAGCTCAGGTAAATGCAGGACAGACCAATAAAATCAAAACCTGGAAAGAAAATACTTTTCTGCCTGTGAACTAATAGTCTGAGCTGTTAAATAACTTCAGCTCTTAAAGGCACACATTTCCCATACACAGAGGTGTGCATTCAACAGTTTATTGCAAGGGGAAGCTGAGAGAACCCAGAACAAATTGCGTTCAGCCCATATAATTTAATTAGATCTACAAACAAGGTAACACTGGTTGCCCAGGGGATTTAAAGCTGAGCTAAGAATTGCTTGGTGGTCTGTTGCAAAAAAAATAAAAAAATAAAAATAAGGCCCCCAATTTTGTGCCTCGGTGTTGATGGAGAATGGCAGAGTTTTTACCCAAGCCGTAGCTTAGAGCAGGAAATCTGTCTGCACTGCTGAGCAAGCCAAAAGCCAAAGCAAAAGCCGTAATCATTCTGCTCCAGATCTCCACCGTGCCTGTTCCTTTCCTTGCAGTATTTCTCAGCAGGCTCATCCTGCTCTGCCTTGTTTGCTGCTTTGCAGGGAGTTGATTTCAGTGGACCTGTAAGTGATGTCTTGTGCCATGATATACCCATTGGCCTCAAAATTTGAGAATCAGTTGAAGACTCCTTATGAGACCAGTTGTAAAGTGTCTGGCAACTTTATCCACTCGGTCTGCATCAGGCCATGTAACAGAGCAATAAAAAAAGCTTGTTGTAATGCAGCGACCGCGTGAGTCCGTTGCAGCGAGCATTTTATTTTGGTACCATCAGAAGTGTTCTCCTCGTTTAAGTTGCTTCTTCTAACACCATGGTATTTTCCCAGCTTGCACTTTCCTTTTTTAAGCTGCTTCTTATTTCAGGTTTATGAGGATAAGAATCTGTATCTGTGATAATTGGATCTTTTCTTCTCCCGCTTTTCTTCTGCAGTCTTCATGGAATAAATCAGCCAACCAGCCCTGGACAAACAGCATAGCCAGATACGGGGACACTATCACAAAAGAGCCTGTCTCTGCTGTGAACGGATCACTGAAGCTCCCTTCCAGCGCGGGACAGAAGCTTTTGTTACAAGCTCTGGTCTACGATGCTGTCATGGTGGGTGTCTTCGGTGGCTTATTGACTTGTGTATTCTGATGTGGTTTTTCCATTTATATTCCCTTTCTCCTTTTTGCAACGCAGGAGAAAATGTTTTCTTCTCTAAGCTAGGTTTAGTTGGCTGATCACGGGCTTTATTTTTTTTCCCCTGGATATAGGAGTGTATGCCAGTGAGACTGATGGGATTTGAGTAAAAGCTGTTTTTTCTAAGCATCGCTCAAAACTTCAACTCTCCCCTGAGCTTGTGTCTTAACTCCAGCCTTAACTTGAGAGCCTGTGCTGTGGGCTTGTTCTTTTGGTGATGGCCCAGTGGGGCCAGACAGCTCGGTTGTCAGCAGGGTTGCAGCAGTTCCTGAGGACCCGGAGCCCCGCACCAGCCGTCTGCTCGGAGCCTTTGCTGTGGCCATGCGGCAAGCAGCCTGCCGAATGAGTTAGGAGCTGCAACGCTCAGCATGGTTATTAAGATCTACCGTGTGCTCACCCAAAGGAAGGATTGCGTTTTCGCCTGTAAAAGGAGTCAAAGATCAAGGGTTGATTTAAATTCCGTCCCCAGAGAGGGTAGAGCAATTTCCACTGCATTTGTCTTGTGCATAGATTGGGAGGAAGTCCTGTTTCTGATACTCCTTCATTAGAATAAATATACACTCCCGTGTTTTGGAGTGTTTGTTACAAGGATGATGATGTCTGTGCCACAGTCTGAGCAAAGCAAACTGAAACCTGCTCAGATTGGCTCTGCACCAGAAGATTGCTTTGGTTATTGCTTTAAAAAGTTCACCTCCCACCCTCCACCCCCAGCAAATACTTCCAAGTAACCCACCTATGTTTCCTTCCTAGATAGTAGTGTGAAAATCAATTATACACAGGATGTAATTAACATTCTGGATAGAGTTAAGACAATGTTTTACAACCCAATTACAGGGCACCATTTAAAGCACAGCTTACCCATCAGAGTTTGTCAACAAAAGGAGAAAAGTGTTAAAATATGTAAATGATGCACAAAGTTGGCTTCAACAGAGAGCGCAAATTACACGTGGGATATCTCACTTTCGTACTTTGAATTGTCTTCTTGCTACTAAATCACGCTCAGCCCAGAATCTGAGCGCTGATTGCCTAGAGAGCTCTTTGTGAGCTTCCAAAATAATTTGTCTGTTAAATTATTGAATGATAATCCAGCAGAATGACCTCCTTGTTAGCCAGATTTGTGGGGACTTGTAGCCTGAACTCCACTTGAACACTGCAGAGAAGAACCAGTTGGTTTCTTTCTGAATTAAAGTGCTTGAATTTAACCAACTTTACCAAGCTGTGACCAGGGCTCTAACGAACAAACATTTTGTGATATGTAGCCGAGATTAAACCAGGAAAATGAAGGGAGCCCTGGTATTTAGTTGTGGGATTGTATCATGAGCTGTCTCAGCTGTCCACTTGCCCTCTAGAAATCTGGCCCTTAACATGGAAACAAACTGGTGAGTGTTGACAATTGTGGTCTTTGACAGAGGCTTGGAGGGATGGTTGGTCCAGCCTGCCAAGAAACCACGGGCAAATAACTTCACTCCGTTGGGACTTGCTTTCCCAAATGTAAAATAGGAATAATGATCCTGAGGTGATTTGAGATGTTTTTAAGACTTCAGCTCTGAGAAACATATCAAAGTAATGCTTAATGGACACATGTGTACATCCCATGGCACTCTGTGGGATTAAAAAGAAATACATTTCAGTGCTTGGTTGGGTCATAGCCCCAATTATCTGAATTTCATTTACTTTACCTTTTTTTTTTTTTTCCTCTTTTTCTTTTTAATTTTCCCCCTGTTTGATAACAGAATGAAGCAAAGAAAAGCCACCCACCAGCCAGCCTCCACCAAGTGGAAGCAGAGGTCATCGTCCATTCTGATTTTTCAGCCTCTGACAGAGACTACGACTCCCAGCTGCACACCCTGGAGAGTGAAGAGACAGAAACCGAGGAGCAGGAGCCTGACGAGCTCCCCTCCGGACAGCTGGCTCTTCCCGGCTCTCCCAGCACCCAGCAGGATGCTAGCCAAGCGTTGGTGGGCAATTCTGAGGTTCAGACCCAGGATGAGCTGTTATGTACCGACAGAAAGACTAACGAACCAGAGGCCGTTTGCATCCAGGGGCTCACCAATGGCTTCCACAGGCACAGAGAAAGTCTGGATTCAGTGGAGAGCGGAGATTCGGACTCCATCCAGGAAGGCAGGGGTGACGTGCAGCCAGCCAAGTGCCAGTCGCTTTCCACGGCCCCGGAGGAGGCCCCACTCTGTAGTAACTCTGGTTTAGCCAGTTCATCCTCAGCATCTGAGAACATGGCACGTGTCCACAATCACTAAAGAGTGAACTAATCTGATTTTGATCATGGGAGAGCTAGAAGCACTAGTGAGGGCCCGTCCCTGTGAGGTACTGCGTGCCTTCAACTCACTGAGCCCAGCAGGAGCTAAGAAAGGCGCAGCATCTCACCAGAACAGGATTCAGACCTGTCAGCTGTACATACCGCCTTCAGGAAATCAGTAGGTAGAGCGGTAAGGGCCCGTTGTCTTCTCGCTGAAGCTGATGCGTAACTTGGTTTTCATGGGAGCGGGACTCAGCCATCTGCCAAAGTCTGACGTGAAATCGTGGATAGAACAGAGCCTTCTGCGTTAGGCTGGGGCTGTCGCTTCGCTGTAGTCCTTGAGGCGACTGGCAGGATGTCTCTTAATTCTGGGAAGAGGCAGGGTACACCGAGCGATTCTTCTCAACTGTCTCTTTGCCAGAGAGCGCCTGGCACTTACCTACTGTCTTGTTGGGATGAATTTTGTCAGAGGAGTCCCGCAAGGGGTGGAAGCCAACACAAACAAATGCAGTGAGCTGTAACCACCAGCCTTTTCTGCCCTCCCGTGGTTAAAAGGATTATAAGGCTCTCTTTGTGTGCTACCGCAGTAACTATTACTAGCAGGCTGATGTAGTGGCCTTTTATTACACACTCTACGAGTGCCTCTAACAACTTGTACTATATAGAACCTTCTTCAGTGTCTGGGTCATTTCACCAACCTGGACTTTGTTTTATGTAGGTTCTTGTACCTAATATTTTAGGTACACATCTGTCCTTTTAATGTACAACATGTATTTTTATTTCCTTGGAACATCTTTATATTATTTAATTTTATAAAGTGGAGTAGCGTGTGGTATAGAGTAGCATTTTTACTACTTCTCTCTTTCTTTATTTTTTCCTCCCTAACAACACAACTACCTCATGTCTGTTGGAGAAAAAAAAGCAGTAGATCTACTCTTTTGTTATAGTCCATTATAGGTTTTAACTTATTCTTATACTGCCTTTTTCTAAAGAATACGTTTGCACTGGTTGTTGACTCTTTTTTAATGCATAGTGCTGCAGATCTGATGTCTCTCTTGCTTTGTTTCTAAGTGTCGCTGTAGGACACCTTCCCTGCAGCTGGAGAGTTGGGTTGCGTTTCTCTGTAGGACTGTGTTTTGCAGGAGCTGGTCAAAGGAGACCGCTTCAGCTGGCGGGTATTGATCCGTCTTTCCTTAAGAAGCTTATACTAGCGAAGAGGAAAAAGAACCTACAATTGCAAAAGTAACTTGTGATCTTGGGGACATCTGTTTCTTTTTGTTTGTGCCCAAGTGGAGACATCTCAGATGACTTTGATTTCCAGAGAGCAGCGCTCAGCCTTCTGTAAGCAGTTGGCTTGCTGAAGGCTTTGGGTGAACAGGTGAAATTTTCCAGTCACTTCTGAGAGTCCTGGCCAAAGTACTTTTGGGGTTTTTTTTTAGGGTTTTGGAGGGGTTTTTTTGTAAGAGCAGAGCACCACCAGAGCTTAAAAATTAAAATAAAATCTTTGGTCTCATACCAGTCAGTCTGGTTTGAAAATCATCCAGTGACTCTTCCTTGCTGACACTGTGTGCTTACTGCTGACGTGTCTCTCGGCCTGGCCTCTGGTGTTGGGTGAACTTTTCTCTCCCCTCTTTTTAGCCTGTCTCTGCCCTGTTCCAGGCTTGCAGAGTTGGACTGGAATGCTACAGATTGGACCAGCTCCTCAGGGGTAATAAGGATCGGTAATTCTGTTCATTGAGGGTTTTGTAAATGTTCTGCCTTCCTGGAGGATTCAGACGTCTGGCCATTTGTTTAACAAATGAGGGAAGAGAGGCCAGCCTCCCTCTTTTCCTACCAGATCCCCCAGAGGTATACAGGGAGCTGTGTGCTGATCTGAGATCCTGTAAAAGGCTTCAGAATTTTTTTGTGGTGAAATCTGGACTGAGATACCACTGCTTGCAGCAAGGAGAACCTTGCTCCACCAGCACCCTATCCCCACTCCTGTTGTGAAGAGCCGTGTCACAGTGTGCCCTGCGTTTGGAGCTGAGCTGGACCAGCCCGTGTCCTTGCGATCCTCCAGCAATCCCTGTTAGCTCCGGGTCTTCAGCAGAGGAGTTACCTCCAAGCCTCCACGTACCCTCTTGGGAAGGATATTGGAGCTTCCACCTCTCCCCATCCATCTCCTCCCAGCATGACACACTGTTCTGGTAAATGGCCATATTTCCACTCGTTGCACTTGCTCCATTGCTCCAGCTGCTGCTTGGTACTTTGAGAAATGCTGTTCCGTGCTCGGAAGCACCATGACTCCGAAAGGCTGTGGCACAGAAACTGGAAATCAGTGCCAGGGAGCAGGCTAGGCAGGAGTTAGTGCAAAGACCGAGAAAGGCAAGAAATCATAACTCGGCAGAGGAAGTACGTAATTAACCTCCAGAACTCATTGCCACAAGACTTTGAAACTAATGACTTAGCAGGGTTACAGATAAGGCAGTGAAGTGTTATTGCAGGCAATAAGGGCAATTCACAGTTGTATGGGAGCGGATGCAATTGCAGAGGTATAAACCCTCCAGCTGGGGAGTATCGGGCACTAGCTGCGGAGGGAGATTTCTGTAGCTGGCCCTCAGTTCATAGTTAGTTTCATGGAAGAGCCCTTGCCCTTCCCCAGAGACAGAACAGACCCTGTACAAGCCACACTGCTGCCTTTGGTGTGCAAAAAGGGAGAAGGGCCCTTCTCCACAAAGCTCCCTGGAACCCCCGGTGACTTCCTTTCACCTCCAAAACCAAGTCATCCGGCAAGCATGACAGCATGCTGAAGGATCGCTTCCGCTGAGCGTCTCGGCTGCCGGAGGCCAGCGCCACGAGGAGTTTGACCAGCAGCAGGCACGACTGGGCCACCGGAGTTCTCCCAGCTCTCTGTGGTGACGCTACCTGGGGCAGGTCATGTTACCAGCCCTGAGCTTTCCACCCAAGGGTCTGTGGGGATGGAGCCATAGCTCCTGGAGCACTCCTTTGTACCTGCACCCTCTGCTTCGTCCTTGACTTTAGCAACCATATAGCCATGGAGTGAGCAGCACTGATCTGCCTACAAGCTGCCCCTACCTGTCACTGAAGCCAACGCAAGCAGGCACAGTGTGACACCATTCTCCTGGATCACCTTGGGCCCATCACAAAGCCACCAAGGTAGTTACGTGCTCCAAGAGCTTTTGGGGGGGGGGGAATGCAGCAGAGTGCAAACAATTCTGCTTGTGCATCACACAAATGCTTTGTCTCTTCACGCTGAGACTTGGTCTGATCTCATTACAACCCACCGAATTGTACCAGAGGGTGAAGCTGGCGGCGTTTGGGTGTCCAGGTACTGCGTGGCCGTGGACTGGTATGCCAGACCTTGGCTTCAGAGACCGGGGCAGTTCCCTGTGAGCCAAGAGATCCCCACCGATGGGCGGCAGCGAAGCCGTTCCCTGAACGGATGCGTGTCCATGCAGAGTGCTGCGTGTCCTTGTCTAACTTGGCTGTGCCCAGGTCCCTCCTGTCCTGAACACACGTGGGACCTTTCTAGTCTCAGCTAGAAATGAATGGAAGAAGACAGATAATAACACATTTTATGTGTAAAGCTGAAACAACCAGTGCATATATTTTTTTATCATGAAATAAGTAGCTTTCTTGCAGATTTCTCACAGACACACCAACTGTTGATACCTTTAATTACCCATCATACCTAATATATGTTCCTGTGCATCAGACTCCTTTCTCCCTTTTCTTCCTTTCAGTAACACTAAAGATTATTGCTGTTCAACTTTTTGCTGGTGTATATTGTTTTACATTGTTAAAATGTCAGGTTTGTCTCACTGGCATAATTTTGTAGTATTAATGTTACCGTTTGGCTACACAACTGTATATTCCCATGCTGCTGCGAGAGTCACAGTTCTCATCCTTTTATTTCTTTGAATTCCTTGTTACATGAAACACATGACTCGGCTAAAAATCTCTTTCAACTTTTAGTTGATTTGATTTATTAACAGCAAAGTTCTGGTCTAAATAGTTCAAATGAGATAACTCATAATCTAGGTTTTGAGAATTTTTTACATTATTAGCTAAGAGCCCATGAAATACGCTGTGTAAGAAAGCAACCATTTTAATAGAGCACTAGGTACGTTTTTGATCTCATTAGAAATAGATGTTTTGAAGGGATCATCGTGTCTTTTCTAATCAATACTTTTGTTAGAAAAGAGGTCTTTAGTCCAGCAGAAATCAACCATCTAGTTCTGTTACTGTATTCCCTTGCTAATATTTTAAAATTAAATTTCATTTAATTTTCTACACAGTGCATAAGGATGTGTAACCAGAACTTGATCTCGTTTGAAGACTGTGTCTGTGTTTGGTTCCATGCTGTACTTAATTATAACTTGCTTTCTTCAGAGACTGTTCTTACTCCACAAATACTCTTTAGTGTTAAAGTGTAAGAAGACATTGTCCTTATATTCCTTAACTAATGGGTTATTAATAAAATATTTAATAAAAAAAAAGTGGAATTTGTCTCACAATTCAGTCGGTTACAGCTCTTACTCCAAGACAAGGTTGTTATGGAAGGCAGCTGTGCTTGGAGCGGCTGGACCCTGGGAAATCTGCTGGTAGGTGCCGTCCCTCAAAACACAGGACGGACGGAGAGTTCTGCCTGCGTCGGCTGCTAGAGACAGACCCGCGAGGTGTCCCTGCAGGCTGTGTCAGCCCGGCTAGAGCCGTGCCTCGTGGTGCGTTGCCGAACAGCTCAAATCCAGCCTTGTGCCTACCTTAACTCGCTTTTGGGGGGGGTCTGACCATGACCCTGCAGCTGGCGGGCGCGGGCTGGTGGGGTGGAGCAAGGTGGGGAAGCAGCGGTGGGAGCGGGACCCGGGATGTGCCCACTCAGTGCCTGGGCTCATAACCGTGGAGGTTGGGACGTGGGATGATGGGGGGTGCCTGGTTCCTTAGGCAACACTTCAGGGATTTGGGGCGTGGGCAGAATTTGGGTTCATTAGGCATTTCTTG